CACTCACAGGACGGCTGATATTTTCTGCTAAAACAGATTTTAGAGCTATATGATCAGGCTCAACTTTATTCCCACCTCCATTTTTCATATGAGAAATCTTGAGGCAAAAAGATATTAAATGATCTGTATAAGGTCATGCTGAGAGTTTAGTGGTAGAACCTTAATATGAAGCAAGATTTCCTGACTCCCCTTGCAAATTCCTTTCCACTCTGTCACACTTTGTCCCCATTCATCCCCCAGCCCCCCAGAAAAGTACAAAGTGTGGTGTCATGATCATAAACTGGCATCTGTGTTTGGATTGCTTTTCACCTGTATTTGGCTTATCTTGACCACCAAGTTCTAACGATTCTTGCGGGAAAGATCATGTCTAATATTTCTGCCCATTCTCCTTCTCCAGGGCACCAAATAGGGCTGTATACACCCCAGACTGGCAGTAAATACATCTTAACTGTGGAGTGCTTCACTTCAAGAAAACATGAAAACAGAACCAATAAAATGAGTATACCCTGGGTGGATTATTATATTACATACATATTCAAAAAGTTTCCTCTGAACAGTGACCTCTTATAGTGAGCTTCGTTACAGATCATTAACTGCCATCCAAAAAGAGAGTGAGAGGTGAGAAACCTCAAAGTAAAAATGGAAGAGTCACTGCTCCTTTGACAGGCTCGAGAAAGGAAAAAAACATTAAGGCAGCCATCCGACTCTGCTATGGAGAGGATTTACACAGTCTCTGTCTCATAGCCCCCAGCTCACAGCCCTCAGCATTGTGCTCTGGTCTCCCTCAGCTGGGAATTGAGTGACACAAGTTCTAAATGTCTGTTCCACCACTAATTATGTCTGTGACCTAAGACATGGCACTTAATCTCACTAGACTTGTGTTTTCTCATCTGTTAAAGGGTAGGGGGCAGGGATATGTGATGGAAGTCCGAATTTGCTTGCCTCACATTTGTTGTGAGTCTGAAGTGAGATAATATATGTGAAAGTACTTTAAAAATCAAAAGGCATTATACAAATGCAAGGTATTAACTTTTTAACTCTCTAATCCTATATGGATTAACCCTAGGAGACTAGAGTGAGTAAAGGTTAACAGGTTTGCATTTTAATACCATCTAAATTAATTGTCTGAATCCTCTACTTTCTCCGTAAATGCTGTCTGTTCTTAAACCCATCTCCTTATTTTATTTAGTAGATTGTTATAAAGGTTGTTATTTTGGCTTGGCACATCCCAAAGTGGAAGGGATAGAGGAGGCTGGCAGCTGCTAAGACTCAGGAGAGACACTGATTTCTTCCCAAATTGCTCTAAAAGGCAGGGCTTAGGGAACTGAAAGCTACTGATTAAGGAGGGAAGGGCTTCCCCTCTAGTAGTATGGTGCCAGTCTCTCATTCAATAAAGAAAATGAAATGGTCCATTTGACCCAGCAATCCCATTACTGGGCATATACCCAAAGAACTATAAATCATTCTACTATAAGCACACATGCACACATATGTTCATTGCAGCCCTGTGTACAATAGCAAAGACCTGGAACCAACCCAAATGCCCATCAGTGATAGACTGGACAAAGAAAATGCGGTACATACTATGGAATACTATGCAGCCATAAAAAACAATGAGTTTGTGTCCTTTGTAGGGATTTGGATAAATGTGGAAACCATCATTCTCAGCAAACTAACGCAAGAACAGAAAGCCAAACACTGCATGTTCTCACTCATAGGTGGGTGTTGAACAATGAGAACACGTGGACTCAGGGAGAGGGGCATCACACACTGGGGGCAGTTGAGGGGGTAGGGGAGAGACAGAGGCGGGTGGGGAGGGAGGGGAGGGGGGGGAGGGATAACATGGGGAGAAATACCAGATATAGTATGCACTTAACATTAAATAAATAAATTTAAATAAATAAATAAATAAAAAAGAAAATGAAATGGAAACAAGAAGGGAGAAGAGCTTTAATTTTTTCACATTTCTCAGCTTTTCTCTCCTTTGCCTCTCCAGAACTCTGAGCCTGGCTGAAATTGAGAGAACTCCATGCTGGCTTGGATAAACTTTATTTTGGGTGGAGTCAGAGTAAATGTTGGCAGTTGGGTGAGGTAGTGCATTGTATATTCAAAAGATGTGAGCCTACCATGCTGTTCTACTGATAGATCCTTCAGCCAGCCCAATCAGGTACTTTACATAACATGCCCAAAAGCCCCAGGCTAAGGACCATTTCTGCCCTGGAACATCCAGAACGATGTTCATCCAAGCCTCTGCAGATACGGTCATCATTCCAGATATGTCTGGTTAAAGAAATTCTTAGGTACCTCTTGGCCTTTTAAAAAATCAGTATTGTTTAATTTAAAAAGAGCCTCTTAGGAGATCATTAATCATTTGAAATATCAAATACTGCTAAAAAGCAATGCAGAAAAAGACATCGTAACTAGTAACCTACAATGAATCATCCACTTAACAGACATTTCCTGAATTCTGACTATGACCTCAAGCCCTGGGTTAGGTTATGAGGAAAATACAGAAGGAACTAAGTAAAACTTTGTAAAGAAATCAGCAGGTTATTGGAAAGAGGAAGGTGTAACTTAGTTATAGCAAAGGTGCCTCCACAAATCAGGCACCAGTCAACCATTCTGGTCATTCCTCTACCCTGCCTCCAATGTAAAGGTTTGTATTCAATGCTGGGCTCAGGAATCCCTGCCACACACACACAAATCCTTACTATGATATGAGGCAATAAGGTAGCTAATGATGTGCTGAGAAATAATTTTTTAAAATCTTCAAAACTAATCATAATGCAACTCAGGCAGTATATCTCCAGTAACCTACCCTAATGGAGCAAAGGCCATGTACAAACAACTATTTTAGCATTCAACCTCAAAATGGCCTTGTAGCAAGAGTCTGTATCATACATTTTGGCTTCATTATAGTTGAATGTAGAAGTATAGACAAGCGTTTCAATAAACATTAATAAAGCAGTAACTCCAAGCAGTCCCCTGGTGGTATCCTGCTTGACAATATACTGTCTATGCCAAACTCCAAGAGGCTATCTCTAACTCAAGAGGCCGTCTTACTCTGTGACTGCTCAGCCTTCAGCCTTTCTAACTATATGTCCGGGTTTAGTAAAAAGCAAAATTTAAATGTGGGATATCAGCCTCTTCTAAGGACAGGATTTCATTAAGGTGTGAGAGTCTGAGAAGTGATCTCCAATCCCGGGCTTACTGGTTGGTCAGATCTGGCACTTGTATGTGCCAAATCCAATAATGAGATCTGGCACCTGTATATTTCAGTCCTGAATTCTTAGGGTTAAAGAGAGCTTGGCTACTTGAGTGTGGGATGGGAGAAAGGAGAACAAGCCCAAGGAGGGTAAAGAGAGTGGGTCCCTAAGGTGAATTTACTGGAAGGAGGACTGCCATGTGAGGGAATTGACAGGGCTCATGTCTCCTGGGCTTCCCATCCCCAGAGGCTAAGGACGGTCACTGCACTAGCTTAGTAGCTTCCAAGTAGTGTAACACATCTCTGGGAAGGTGGGCTTAGGCTGTGATGCTGCAGCAAGGATCTGGGAAATGCAGACCTCACCAGAGATTCTGGTCTTTGGAGTGAGTTAGGTGAAACTGTGCTTTTGTGGTATTATTTATTGCTGAGACATAGTATAGGTAACAGAAAGATGCTACAGATTCTAGAAAATTCTGGCTAGGTCAGTGTCCCTTGGCAAAAGAAGAGGGAATAGTGGGAGATAAGATCTGGGAGGAAATGGCTAGAGAAGGGGTTGCAGAAGGAGGGTTGTTATCCACAACAGCATTATGTGTGTGGGAGATAAATTCACTTGTCATATTTCAAATCAGGTTTACAGGTATTTCTCCCCCTTCTGCTCCCACTACCCAGCTGTGGCTTAATGGGTAGTCTTCTCAAATTTTAATTACAATTGGCAATATATTGGTGTCTAAAGTCTAAGTCTGACTAAGATGATGGTTTGTGTGTATGTGTACGTGACTATAACAGAAAGAGCTTCTGAAGTCTCCCGGTGTGGTGGGAAAGGTGCTGCGCTAGGCATCAGTCGTTCTCTTCGCAAGAGAATCTCCCATCTCTAATGTCAGAGTGCTTCAGGAAGTGAAAAAGGTGTGGGTGTTGCAGTGAATTTCCCCAGCCCAAGATACACACACACACACACACACACACACACACAAGCACACAAGCACACACGGGCGCGCGCGCGCGCGCGCGCTAACAAGTTTGGTTAAAAATAAATAAATAAATAAAAGAAAAATGTTAAAAAGTCCTGCTGATGGCTGGGAAATCCAGCTAAAAGCATAAGGCAGTCTCCTTATGGCATAGGCGAGCCAGACAGACGCCCAGATGGCTGCGGAGACCTTGGCTCCTGAGCGCGGAGCCCAGCTGCTGGTGCCGGGGCACTCTCAGGGCTATATCTGCAGGTTTCGGAAAGCCGGGGCTGCAGCCTTCCTCATCACACTCCTTTCCCGAATCACCTCAAACACTGTACCTAATAGGAAACCGCTTGGATCTGGCAAAGCTCAGAAATGCCAAAACCGAAGAGGGGCAAATTTTACTTCAATCCAAAGGAGGCTGAACTCCCCTACCCTCGCCACCACACACACACACACACACACACACACCTTGCGGCTTAATTTCTTTTCCCAGCTTAGATAAAAAGGTTTACTTGCCCATCAAGGCTTGGAAATGGGGAGCAAGAGGTTGGTCCGAGGCTAGGCTCACCTGCTGCTGAGGTGAGAGAGCAGACACAAGGATGGAAGCTGTTCTGAGCAGCAGCTCATGGCTGAGTGGTTGGGGGATTGCAAGGACCCTCAACT